AAGAAACGTAAAATGGAGCTTAGATTCATCTGAAATTCTACGAATTCGAACAAATAGACGGAGCCAAACGATTTGAAGCATCAAAAAATCTCGAAATAATATCCAAGATCGATATAAATTTTCCTTTAATATTTTAATTTCAGTACGACATTTTTAATCGCACTACCGATTAAAGTTAATCATAAATGACGCTCTATTCATTCTAATTATATTGTTGCGTGAGTATACCTTAATTTCTCGTATTAAAAATATAATAGCCAGATTTACGAGCATTGTTGCAAATTTCATTATATTCCTGGTAAAGCAGAATAATAATTGCCTCTTGCTATCATTTGTTCAGTACATTTTCATGATTATTATTAACGAAATAATTCATAGCGCATCTGATGCCTTTTAAAATCCTATTGAGCGGAGCTTTTATCACCCTCGGTGGCTGCCTCTTTTCCAGTGCCCTGTCTCGACCTAAATTTATTTGATGGAATATGACTGTTAAAGATTGATACCCAGGGCATGAGAGTGTCCGTAGGCTGGGGTGTGCGATAGACTTACCTCCACGTGGTGCACCCTGGGCAACGTGTACTCATGCGGCAAATAAGTCTATAAACGGGCAGTTGACTTCTCACTTCAAACTACCATCACCCCCACTGCATGTCATATTTGACTATTTCCACAGTACTCACCTCACCTTTGTTCTACCTTCGTGTTTGTCTCTTTTACATCTATAAAACTCTCTTCTGTTCGCCCCCCCCCCTCTCGACTTTTTTCGATTTGATGTTACTCCTCCTCTGTGAAGCCTGAAGTCAACTAAATGGCTAGTGATAACTATCATAAAGCCTGCCATTTGATATAAATAAATAAAGATTGATGTTGCAGGTGACTGGGAATAGAATCTAGTTTCATGTTCCATTTAAAAATCTAAAAAATCTATGAATCACAATGCATAATAAGTAAATAAATAAATAATAAAGTATATGAACCAAGCCACGAGATATGTGCCGCTCATGGGAGGCCAGTGTGATGAATCAGCCAATCAGAAAGGCTCTGTCGTTTAACAGTGCGGCTATGATCTAGCCTTTTATGAGTAACGTCTCTTCACTTGGAAGAAGAGAGAAACCAGAATCCAATCATGTACGGTATCATTGAGAATTCAAAATGAGTGGACTGATAATGATAAATGCTGCCTCAATTTGTATTTCATTTTATCGCATGCCATTTTTTTCCTATAAACACCTAGGATATTAAAATCACTTACGTATCCCTGAAGCCTATCACATACATTTAGATGGGTCGATTTTAATGTAGGCTGCCAAGGGCTTTAGAAGTTGCCTTCAAATTTGTCAACCCAAAGGCAATGTTAGCCAATGGGGAGGCTGAACAGGGAGGGGGGGGGGCAAATTACTTAACGTTGTCGCTCTTGTTGGGAGACTACAAAATTGCTATTTCTTGCCACTCGACTCTGCTTTTTGTACCTGTTTTATCGTTGGCATATCTTAAAGAATGTATGACCTTGCTTTGTCTGAATGACGATTCCAAATAAATATCTAATTAGACAATGCTTTCCGTAAATTTTTTTTTCTAATGCCGTAATTCATCTCTTATATGTTAAATAACTTAAAACGGTAATTTTTCTAATCTGTCATATTAAAATGAAAACAGTTCTTTGTAATACTCCAATGTGCCACAACGGTAAATGAAACTAGTCTCATTTAAAATCGATAAAGCTAGTGTTTAGGTCAAAATGTATCAAGAAATAAAAATTAGCCGTTTCTAGATAAAAGCTAGATTAATATTCTCGAGGGATTTCAAATTAACCGATAAGCTAACTTGAAAGTACGAATTCCAGCCTTAGTATTGTCAGTGTTGCGATTTGAATAATTTCTTTCAAGTTTTTCCAAGGGGATGGGGATTTAAGTCCTTCAGAAACTAAATTGAAAATGAAGAATCTTAATATTGATTGTTTGGGATTCTCTTTGATCTCGAACAGATTCGGGCTACTTGGTTGTGTATAACAATGCTAAAACTCATTTTCATTAGCGTTAGAGCCAAAATGGATTTTGTGAAAGAAGGTTTATTTCTAAACTAGTGATTGCTAACTTAGTTTTCACAAATCACTTCTTAACCGTTTAGTAGTGGGAGAAAGCCTACCGCCAAAATGTCTGTTTGGTTAGGAAGCCATTAGAAAATACTTATTAGGTTGGCAACTAAGTCATTGCCAATTTCAAATAAGAAGGCAAATTCGGAATTTTTTTTTAAAAATATAACTTTATTCAATTAGATATTGGCCGTTCTTGCCGATGACCTTTTTCCATCGTTCTGGCAGAGTAAAAATTCCCCGTTCGTAAAATGTCTGGTCTTTGCTATTAAAAAACTGAATTAGGTGTGATCCGACATCATCCGCGTTGTTAAAAGTTTGACCATTTAAAGAGTTTTGCATGGAACGCAACAAATGGTGATCCGAAGGCGCAAGGTCAGGGCTATATGGTGGGTGTGACAAAACATCCCAACCCAGTTCCAATAATTTTTGTCGAGTAACCAAAGATGTGTGGGGCCTTGCGTTATCATGATAGAAAACAACATCCTTCCGATTTGATAATGCCGACCGCTTATCTTCAATTGCATCCTTCAGTTTTTCGAGTTCTTCAACATACACATTTGAATTTATCGTTTGGTTCTGCGGCATGAGTTCAAAATACAAAATTCCTTTGTGATCCCACCAGACTGACAGCATAATCTTTTTTGGTGAATCTCAGCTTTTGATACTATTTGGGCTGGTTGATCTTGCTTCACCCATGATCTCTTGCGAGTAACATTGTTTTAAACTATCCACTTTTCGTTGCCAGTAACTAGGTTCTTCAGAAATGGATCATTCTCATTGCGTTTCAGTAGCGAATCACAGATGCTAATCCGTTGCGTCAAATGAATTTCCTTTAACTGGTGAGGGATCCATAAATCAAGTTTCTTGACATAACCAAGGGTTTTTCATTTTTTTTTTCAATGCATGTATGCGACACATTGAGCTTCTCTGCAATATCTCGTGTTGTGCTGTGACGATTTGAATCGATAATGGCCTTGATATGGGTTTCATCCACTTCGACTGGGCGGCCACATCGTTGTGAATTTTTCAGTGAAAAATCACCGGAACGAAATCTTTCAAACCAATTTCGACACTGCCTTTCTTTTAAAGCTTCATCTCCATATACGGCACATAACTTCTTTTGTGCTTGCGATGCGTTCTTGCCTTTTCGGAAGTAATACAATAAAATGTGTCGGAAGTGCACGTCCTGTTCTTTCATTTTTAAATTGGGATAAAAACAAAACTAAAGAACTAAACAAAAAAATTTTTTACTAATTAACCTAGAACCCCATACAGTAAGAAAAGAATATAGGTTAGATGTTCTGGCCACGTTAACAAAACAAAAGAAAGTATAGAGTGAATCCGTCAACAAAAACGGTAATGACTTAGATGCCAACCCAATATTTGGTTGAAGCTACTGCTGAAAGTTAGTAGCTCCATGATTCCAGTAATGATAATTCGTTGATTGAGTTATGAATTTATCAAAGGCCTCCATTGTACACAAAAGCAGAATTAGTGTTTACTTAATTGTAGCTAAAATACGATGACTTCCAAATGCATTTCGGGAAGCACTTTCCAGCACTCAGTGTCCTAATATTACCTTGAGTAAGGGAGTATCATCATGGAGATTCTCTCGAATTTCATCATATACGTTATTAGCCAATGAACTTGATGCATAAAGCGACCTCCTGATTCGCAGACAAACATGTGCTTAACCTTCCCCCCCCCCCCCCCAAATGGTCAAGAAACAAGACTCTACATCAATTTGTATCAACCACCCTAGCTCCCTATTTGATATTTGGTATAAACGTTAAAGGTCCCAATATCAGTTTCGATTTTAAAGGTTTCATGTTTTTTTAAATGTGTGCATTTCTAGCTCCGACGTTAAGACCTATCTACTCACTAGTTTTCGCTTAGAGGGGTGTGCAATAGACTTACCTCCACGTGGTACACCCTGGGCAACGTATTCTCATACGGCAAAAAAAGTCTATCAACCGGCAGTTGACTTCTGACTTCAAACTACCATCACCCCACTATTTGTCATATTCCACCACTTCACAGTACTCAACTTACCTCTTTTCCGCCTTTGTGTCTGTCACTTTTACATCTTTGAAACACTCTTCTGTTCCTTTCCCCCCTCCCCCATTCTTGACTTTTTGTAACTTTGATGTTCCTTCTCCTCTGTGAAGCCTGAAGTCAACTAAGGGGCTAATGATAACCATCAAAACGCCTGCCATTTGATATAAAAAATTAAAGTGTTCGCTTAGAAGTAGTTAAGTGGAACTTGCAGACAGAAATAGAGAAATACGACAGAAGCTCAATCAATTTGAAAGTTTTTTTGACTACATTAAGAGACACGAGTCATCTTCATGTTGTTGATTTTTGCAGATCAAAACCCTGCCAGACTATTAACAGTTTACGTCTAAAACCATATTACAATGCTCCAATAGTAACCACTATTAACCATTGCAGTTGGTTATTCCACTAAAAAGATAGACCTACGTCAAACAATGCCGTTCGCACCTCAGGCAACTAAAGAACCCCGGCATGAGAACCAGTCCACCAATTAACCTACATTGTCAGCTCCAAAGCTGACAAAAGATCTTATCACGACCCTTACTCTCAAGCCACGGCAACCTAACCAGCATCCCTATTCAAATACTTTTCCACTAGATACCTACTAACAAGAACTAAGTAACAAAATTATCTACAACAGGTAACAAAATAGTCACAACCCAAATTATACACATAACAACGAAAAAACCGAGTTTAAACAAAATTTTATTCCTACTTAAGTCACATATAGCGTGAAGCATGTAATAACAATATTAAAATATTAACAAATTACATTAAACATGCGCTTAAAACCAGTCAAAGAGTATACATAAGAGAAAAGGGCTACAATAATGTACACAAATACATGCTACTACTTTTTGGAGCGAGTCCTGCGAACTGGTTTTGTTGATGGAGTCATCCTGGGTGACTTAGTTGTCGGTGACTTTAAGGCGGCATCGTTTCCCTTTGTCGCTGCAGCTTTACTGCGAGTTCTACGAACCGGGGTTTTAAGGCTCAACACTTCTTCCTTTCGTGTTATTTCACTAACAGATTTCTTAAAATGAACTTTACGAGCTGTTCGTCCAAATTCGGCGACTACAGGTGAAGATTTACCTACAGTCTTCTTAACGGTAGACGATTTTGTAATAGTCCTCTTCTTACCCACAGTCCTCCCAACTGGAGACAAAGAGGATATAGTTTCTGCTTCCTTAGCTTTTTCAACAGGAACTTTAGCAGACCTTGTGGTTCTCTTCCTAGAAGCACTCACTCCGAGAGGAGTAGAAGCTTCAGATTCTTTCAAATGCAAAGAAACTTTTGTGCTGTCAATTTTTCGAGCGTTTGCCTGGGTCGTATTTGTCTTTTCAGCTGCCTTTCTTCTAGTTGAACGTGGTCTTTTTGATGAGGTCGGTTCAACATTTCCCCCCTCTCCCAACTCAACCGTTATATCAACAGGACGTTTACGAGTACTTCGTGCTTCAGCAGTAGTTGAAGTAGCAACCCTTGCCTCAGTCAAATTTTTAGCTGCTGCTCTCTTTCGAGTTGTACGTGCTCTCTTAGGTGAAGTTGAAGATTCTTTCAAATCGATAGGAGTAATTGGAGTAGGAGAAAGATTTCGTTTTCGCCTTGTACTGCGAACCACTCGCTCAGGAGAGACGACGGTTTCTATGGTCTTTTTAGCCGCCCTCTTTCGACCCCTGTTAGTCTTTACAAGCGATGAGATTGGTTCAACATAATCTTCTTCCAAATCAATGATAACTTCAGGAGAGGGAACAGGATTTTGTTTTGTTGCTCGGGTATTTACTGTTGTATGAGATTCATCCACAGGACGGGAAGGATTTCTTCTTCCACGCGTGATGCGAATTGGAGTTTCGTCTGCAGTCGAATCTTCGACAGCTTTTTTCCTTGTTCTAGCAACGGCTCTTCTTGCTGATCTCTTAGGGGTCGCCGGTTCAGTGAGATTGGTCGTTACGATCCCTTCGCTCGTTAAATCTATCATGTCTTTAATGCCGGATAATCTAGGAGAAGGAAATGATTTTGGCGTCATCATCATCTCACGAATACCGGCTAATTTTGGTGACTGCTCCATCTTCAATATTCTTGATGACTTTCGTGTATCAGCTGGCTTCGCTGTTTGAATGGACTTTCCAACCGCAGATACTAAAGGAGATGACTTAGGAGTTCGCATCAGTTCACGTATACCAGATAATCTTGGTGATGGTCGTGTATTCGATGTTCTAAAAAGCTCTTTGACTCCAGATAATCTGGGCGAAGGTAACGACTTGGGGGTTCTGAACATTTCACGAAGACCAGCATACCTGGGCGATCGCTGACTCTTTGGAGTTTTCACAAGCTTTCGAACCCCGGTCAGTCTAGGTGATTTTTGACTTTTTGGTGTCTTCATAAGTTTTCGAACACCAGATAGTCTTGGAGAGGGTTGTGAACAAGGAGTTTTCAGTAGTTCACGGACACCGATCAACCTCGGTGATTTTTGACTTTTTGGTGTCTTCATAAGTTCTCGAATACCAAATAGTTTTGGAGAAGGCTGTGAACCAGGAGTTTCTAAAAGTTCACGAACACCAGTTAATATCGGTGATTTCTGACTTTTTGGTGTCTTTAAAAGCTCTCGAACACCAGATAGTTTTGGAGACAGCTGTGATTTAGAAGTATTCAATATTTCACGGACGCCAGTTAGTTTTGGTGATGGCTGACTAGTTCTAATTGTTGATAAGCGCGGAGAAGGCGGGACCTTAGAGGTCTTCAACAAATTACGGGTGCCAACCATTTGCGATGATGGTAGACTTTTTGGCGATTTGACAAATTGACAGACACCAGATAGGGTCGGAGTCGATAGAATGTTCTGAGTGCCAATTGTTTTTTTATTAGCAGAAAGTTGCGGATGTGGCGACTGACTAGGACTTTTCAGCGAATCATGAACGGCAGATAACTTCAATTCTGATTGCAATTCTGGCGTCTTAACATAGTTCCGCAATCCAAATGGCCTCGGGGATGTTCTAGTAGATAATCTTCCTGGGGAAGGTGACTTTGAAGACTTAACAAGTTCTCGCGCTGTTAATAGAGAAGGCACAGTGCTAGGTGTTTTTAAGATTTTTCGAACGGCAGATAACCCAGGGGTGGCAACCTCCAGTGATGGTTCACGCTCAGGAGAATGAGATAAACTGGGGGAGCTAACAGATTTCGGAGTAATGAGAACAGGAGTGCCTTTGACCATCGGTGAATTAAGAATTAAAGCCGGTGAAGCAACATATCCAGGAGTTTTCTTGACATGGTGACGCGAGCGAGCGTTTAGATCCGATGGAGGCAAATCACCACGCTTTAATGGTGTCGCAGGAGGTAAGCGAGAATCAAATTGCTCAGGGCTCAATCTTGGACCAAACTGAACGCCCTTTTTCTGCATATGACAAGGAGACAGTTTACTCGAACTAGCCCCTGATTGATTAAGAGTTTGGTTTGTCGAATAAAATGACGCGGAATTATTTGAGTGAGCGAAAGAATCTAAAGAGCTAGACCTTCGTAAACGTTTAATGTATTGAACTCCAGTTAAAATAGGTGTTTCAGAAAGAACAAGAACCTTGGCTTTCTTTCGCACAGGACTCACAAGCGCTTCGAGAGATGGAGTCCTTTTCTTTAAAATAGAGCGCCTTTTGACGTTTACATCTGGTGACGGGACAGCAGGTCGGGTAGGTGTAGGACAATAACGATCTCTAGTAGAAAGCCCACTGCGCTGAGATGACAAAGTAGGAGTTCTAGATCTTTGAACCCGTAAATGTGGCCGATTTGGAGAACTCGTCTTAACCGTAGGCAATTTAGAAACATCAGCTACAAGCCGATTAGAACTTAAAACCAATGGAGAAGATTGAGCAGACCTACTTACACTCGATCTAGCCTAGAGTAAGTAAACAGTTAGAAAATAGAACTAGAATTCATGAACCTACCGGTTGAAGTCGCCAGTGAGAAGTTTCAGGGTATTTAAAGGTAAAGTTTCTATCTCCGACCGTAATCAAACTATTATGGGCGACGAAAGTTCTATCAGACACACCCAAACCATTAAGCAATGTCCGAGAAAATTTGGCAACATTGATGATAAAAACACGACCATCGTCTGAATTTTCAAGTTTACAATGAAATGGTTCGACAGAGTTGAGTTTAATGCAAATATCACAAGATGAATCACTAAACAGTTAGGCACATATTCTTTAACTGGCATACCTTCCAAAAATACACTTATCTGCTCGCCACTCACACGAAGACCCAGAGGTTCCATCTCTTTTTAAAATAACTATATAGCCACGTAGTGCCATATCAGGACTAAAATCGAGCTTAGGCTGGCAATTAAATACCGATATACGGCTAAATCAAACACAAAAGAGGCGCAGTCAACAGAAGCTCTCAAACAAAAATCGGTTAAACAAACATTCGTCTACCAATGGAATAGATTTCATTTATTCTCACCACTAAACTATGATCTTTCTAAGTTTATTTCGAGAAGTTGATCACTATTTTTACCACAAATTAAATAAAGATAAAGTTTATTTATTAAAGTTTTATCTGAGTAGTAATACTTTTGTACATAGATCCATCAAACGTATTTATCTAACTTTGAATGCCGAAATTTTATTATTACCTTGAGGGGCCTTTCAGAGCTAAATTTATGCCTAAATAATTGCGTTATATTAGGAAACTACCTTATGTCCCTGAAGAACTCTTTATGGAAAACTCCTGGATTTAGGCAAGTTATATTAAATGGGTTATAGAAAACAATTATCTTTCGCATTGAATACTGATGGATCATTAGGACATTTTTCTCACATTAATGTAAAAATTGCTATGAAGTGTCATGAAAAATAGGAGTAACATTGTGGACTCTAAAGGGATCCAAATGCTGCAAAAATTGTGTGTGATGAAATCAATTTTCATAATGATTTCCGTGCTTTGGTCTTCGCATATTTGAATCTTATAAAAAATAAATTAATCTTAATCCGGAGTGCTGTATCTACGTAATCATGCATATTGATCACTTATCGCTGGCATCACATAAGATACTATTCACCTCCACTTACACAAACACGCGAAATTCAATTGTTCTCAATCTGATTTTCAAGATGAAATATCCTTTGAATTAGCTCCATAATCGCATGACAATTTTATCTTGTTAGGCTTTTTAATATCAATTTTTAAGCGTTAGCATGAGTGAAAGGCAATGAACTAGAAACCAGTTTTAAGCTGTTGAACATTTCGTAGCATAAATAAACCAAAGGACAACACAAATTAACACGTTTATTCATCAATATCAATCAGATTTGATTCATCGGAGGAGAAGTTCAATGTGTTTTCTTCATTTTGAGTTCCACTTCCCATATTCATGCACGCCGACAAACACACTATGTTAGCCATTTGTTGAAAGTAACTAAACTTCCTAATTACATTATCTGAAGTGTCGAACTTGCTTATCAGATTGATTAGAGTTTCATATTCAGTCTTAATCCCGAGTGTCACCAGTGCGTATGCTATACTCACAATGAAGCGCAGAGCCATCGATTGAAGAATGAATTTTCTCATTTTAAGTACACAAGATTCCGAATCTCCTTTTGCCTCAAGCTCCTTTGGCCTTCGTAGAAGATTCCAACCCTCTTGCCCTCTCGACAGTGCGAATATAATGGCAAGAACAAGACATGGACAAAGGTGAAAGCAATTAAGTCTTTGAATGTAGTTGACATCAATCGCAGAGTTACGATATTCCATAAAATTTGAAAGGTGTATTAGTGCTGGAGGTTTTTTGAATGTTAGGGGTGTTAGAAAACCTGTAATAAGACTAATAATTAAGGCCAAGCTAGAGAAAGATTTCGTTTTCTTTGGCATCAATTTAAAATATTCTCCACATAGAATTATATGAATTTGTCCGCTAAGCATTTGTAAAGCATCAACTAAGAACGAATAGAATTCATAATGACCTTTTAAAATATAGTCAGTTAGATCGAAGTCATAGTTATAGTAAAGAGAAAGCTGGAGAACATTTAATAAATTCAATAACAGATCAGTGACAATTAGTCCAACTAAATAGTAACGAATTCGACCCCTTGGGAGTTCACGTTTCGAGAGATTTTGAAGAAAAGTGAAAATTATGCTAAGTTGTGCAGCCAGTGCAATGGGTAGAAACCATGAAGGTTCTTTGAGTTTTTCGCTAGAAAATCTGGCGCCTTCCCAATTACTTCGTATTTCTACCGGTGGAGGAGAAGATTTGATCTCAGCTATTTCTACTCCGGTGAAATAAACGTAGGTTTGCTTGATTGCACTTGCGAATAAAACATTGACTAGGATCGTTTGCACCGAATCCATTAATCTTTGGTGGGCTTTAGTTAACGACAACCAACAAACTGTGAATAAGGTTAGTAAACATCGATAAATCGAAATGCATGTTTAAAACGTTTGTATAGCGTGAACGCTCGAAAAATCGAGATTTAAAACGGCTAGAACATTTCGTTATTGTAAAAATCAAATTTAACTCAATAATCAGGATCTTACACATAGTATGCTTTTAAAATTCTCCCCCCCCCCCCCCCCTATAAATTAAAAATTATGTTTCAAATCAACTACTTCTTCAAAGGGAAAAATAATGGATATTTTTATAAATATGAAATCTTAGGCCAGGATTACGTCCCATAGTCCAATCTAGGCCCTAGATATGTTTAGTCGAACTTAAGATGTATAATTTCGAAATCGTTCACGTGGCAACATTCGATGCTGTCTGTTCGTCTTTCGAAGCATTAGTTAATTGATTAGTTGCTATATTTCTAGTAAGCATTAACTTATCAGTGGTTGCATACTGAACACAAAATATTTCAGAGTTGCCTCACAAAGAGTTTTAACACAAATTGTCGCATTTACTGTGCATAAATATATACGACTTCCCTGTGACTGCTCATACTTCCGATCCTTATTTGTCATTCACTTTGTAGCGGATTGCTACGCAAGTTATGTATATTGTTTTGTAGACTTGTAGCGGATTGCTCCCTAAGAGCCTGACTGACTCAGAAATCTCTATGGCACGATTTCCAACATCTAGCTAGACTCCCAGAACAAGCTAAGCTATAGCCTAGCTATAAGGGAAACTCATCTAGCTAGACTCCCAGAACCAACTAAGCTATAGCCCACATCTAGCTAGACTCCCAGAACCAGCTAAGCTGTAGCCCAGCTAACAAGGAAACAGACGTGTAGCACGAGCACGTTTATTCAGTATATATATTGCGGATCAAGCGTACGCGCAGGGAGCTACTCATGATCAGGATGGGGGATTAGGTTAAACAGAGGTTGATGATTGGTCACTGTTTGTACGGTCGCTGCACACAGAGTTGTACGGCCGCACCTCCCAATCCTGGTGAGCAGACATGCAGGCATACGATGACGCACAGAGCGATAACGTGTCCGCAGCTTCATTAAAATTTCCTTTAATCCAATAGTGTACCGCTCTATCTTTTTAATAGTAGTACTTCAACCCACAAAATAATAGCTCGTTATTTTCGTAATTTCACTCTCCTAAGTACACAGTCTATACAGTTCGAACACGTTCAATTAAGAAAGAGTTGTTTCAACATAAAATTAGAGCTTTCTATTGGTTCTAGGATGCCCCCAATATTAAGTTATTAACTGTTAGACCTGGGACAGCGACGCTTTTACCCACCTCGTGCATCAGAATAATTTATATTCAATCCAGGTCCAAGTGGGACTATGCTGGAGGGCGTCAGATACCGATCGTCCCAACGGACAAATTAACGAAATGGAGTTTCTCAAACTTACTCTATCGCTTAAATGCAAATTGGCTTTCAAAACCTTCCTAGTTCGAAATGAACCCGAGATAAGTAACCTAGTAAAACTAGGACCCTCCTAGTCACCCTAGACTCAAGTATTTAGGTTCGTGTAATTTGCTACAGAGCTAGGCAAACTATTTAAAGTCAATAAATTTTGTTGAAAACACACGTTGCTATGCAAATTGTCAACTGATGCTTTCACCTCCCGTTCATCAGACAGTCAAGGGAGTCAGTTCCCTAAAACTTAGTTTCCCAACCCCACTACACACTCGTTCTCCTCCAGCTTCAATTCGTCTTCCTATGTTTCTCAATTCCCCCTCCCCCAAACGTCTAAACTCTCGATATTCTTACTATCTTTTAAGAATAGAATGACTCTAAGCCTAACTTGATCGGTCACCTAACGTTATCCTAATGACAATGAACTAACTAAATTCTTAAACATCTACAAATATTTGGATATTCGACAAATTACCCAAAATACCAAGGAAATTTGCCAATCGAAATATGGAATCATCGCAGCACTCATTACCATAAACCTCTCAACAGATGTCAGAAATTAACCCATCTGTTGACCGACTTTGAAAATTAAAAAAGACAAATTCTAACGTCGCATATAAACTTAAGCAACGGATACAATACTTTCATTTTAAAGTAAAAAAAGAGTTTTATTTACAACGACAAAGCAACAACAGATAAATAAGAATTACATATCACTCAGACGTAACTAAAGTCAATTTTACACACATCCTCCATCGATACATTTTTTACAAGACGTCCACGGCACAGTCCCGAGTCAATCGCAATGTCAACTCGTGATTCCGCCTTATCAACACTCTTGAGAATAGCCATCTCACCACGATAAGCTCCATTGACAACCAGTAGAGGACTACCAACGGGGGGAATTACAGTCTCCGCGTGATCTTGATCGATTTTCAACTTTGTTTTCGCGGAATTGAGGACCTGAACTACGGCCGTATAGCTATCTTCCATATTTAGGACTATAGCATGTCGGTAGAGGATATGACGAGGAAGTTTATGGTAAATGAGTTTCACCTCGATGCCCTTAGCGAGCCAGTAATCCTTTCGATTGCGCTTTTCCTTGAGCATTTCCTCTTCAGCCATCAATTCGTCCAAAGCGCTCAATCTAGCGGAAGAGGACGACGTTGAAGGCTTAGAGATGGTTGACTTTGGGCGTGGCTGTTGTTCATCGTTATTCTTTGGTTTATGTGCCTTTTTCTCCGCCACGAGCAGTGGATTCTGTTGTGAAAGGAAAATACAAATTATAAACATGAAGCACAGCAAGCACTACTTTCAACAAGACCAATCACCAATGGAAATCCATCCCCAGATATAATGTGCTTATTAGGTGCTGAGCATGAAAAGGTACATTAGGTCAGACCAGTTTATCGATAAGCCAAGAAGAGATCGAAGTGCATGTTGACAAGACACTATATGACACAGATGAGACCAAGAAAGAGACTTTTAATGTTGCTCTTTAACCAAACTTCGCACTCATTTCCTTTCGCAAAATAATTTACCCCAGTTACTAGCGCAGGAAGAGCAGCAGAATAAGAAATATATCAAATTTTGCCTGTTTATTTCATGAATAAATCAGTTTATGACAGCTATGTAAAATTCGGACCATTTGATCGAATAATTAAGGAAAATATTGAAAGAAAGCTAGCGGTTTTGTAGACAAAAAAGAGGTAAATTCTACCTCTCATTGTAAACAGCTATCGAAGGTAATTAAAAGCAGTGTATTGGAAAGAAGGAAAACGTGACAAAAAACTGCAACTTGTTGAGCAAACCTCCTAATCCTACCCTTGTAACTGGAAATTGCATGCAACACACCCATTATTAAGAACTGATTAATTAGTTGATTTGTTGCCATTAGTGGCGGGGTAGGCAAGTTGATCTATCCATTAGATAAACCTATATTCAACCAGTCAGAGATTTGGAAACTATCCCCAACAATAACAAAAATATGACAATTAGGAGAGTGAGCGAGATTACCCAAGGTGACTAGGAATGACCACCATTTAAAATGATTTGAACTCCGACATGAGTTATCATAAATATGCCGACACCATAGCTTGAATTTATTACCACTATAAAATGGCATGCTTATCTAAATGATTGACCATTTGGCCTCCATAAGTGTTCTTAAAGGGGAAATCTGACAAAATAATAACCAATCCAACTTTTCATTCGACCTCTAAAGCGGCATTATGCACTGGAGATAATCTCGGCTCTTTATAAGGGAAATAAACCGATAAATGGGAGAGAAACCTACCACAATTTTCCGAGGTTTTGCAGTTATTTCAGGATTTTCAGTCATTGAGATCTTTGATACTGGTAAACATTCTTCGGGACTCTTCTCAATGGATTTAGGGGATCCATTTATTTCGTCCAATCTTGAAATCTTATTGGGCCTAGCGACTTCTTCTAAAGTTGATTTTTCAATAGTCTCGGGATTCGAACGTTTGGATCCAAGTTGTAAATCCAATCTTATAATCTCGTTCTCATCCTCTCGAACGAGGGGCTTGAGATCCTTGGTTTCTTTCTCTGGCTTGGTTGATTTCAAATTTGAGGCCTTCTCTATTTGTTTAGCTATAATGAAAACGAAAATCCTTTTATACAATGAATTGCAACTAAAAGACGTAACATATATGAGCAGAGAACTTGGCAATAAATTAATAAAGAAAACAGGAGATAAAGGAATAACATAGGAATAAGCGTACCGAGAATTTGGCGATTCAGCTCGTCCTCTGTCTTTTCCAGACGAGCATCTGAGGCCTTCCGACTCTCAGCTTCTGGGTCACGATCAATGTACTCAATATACCAGCCCTTCTCCGTCTCTTCGGCACGACAAATTCCTTGTTTATGAAGCCACATGCAGAGACCTGTGAGTGAGTGCCAACGTGTAGCATTCATATGAACATGTTCTTTATCCTTGATATATTCCTGATACACGACATTAGCGTGTACACGTTTACCACCAAATTGGCGTCTAACAATATCCAAGTAGCCCTTGAGAAACTCTGAAGAAAAACTGCTTATAAATTTTCCTCCATTTTCCATGAAAATCTTCATTTGACGATGATGGGCTTCTGAATTTGTGTGGCACTTGTAACCATTTTCGTCTCGACATTGCTTTTGACACATTTGACAGTACCATCTCAACTTCTGGAGACCTTTTGATTTTATGCGATTAGCGATAGCCTTTGGAGTAAGAAATCCACCTTTATCCTTTCCCATGACACTACGATAGCGGAGAGAACACCAAAGAAGTCGTGAGAATGAGAATAATGAAGACCGCGGATTAAGAGTTCGACATAAACAAATTAGTTCAAACCAAATATATGAGTATCTTATTACGATAAATTTATAAACTTTATTATGTTATTGGAAATTTCCATCTAATATAAACAAATTTCTTGGGCTATTTATGAAATCCCAAATGCTAATTATGTAAGACTGGTAATTTTTCGGAGATGACTCTTTAATATTTGGGATTAAACTTAATGAAATTAGATAACTTCCTTTACATATTCTCTATTCTTATAAAGAAATAGGGTTCTATATCGTTCAACATTTTATAATTGCAACGATTTTCATTAAAGCTTAAATATTACATAGTCCGGGACATACTCAAGCAAGCCATTTAATATAAATCCGCTTTCATCCCCTATTACTAATTTCACTAAAAGTTTGCCTCAAAGTATTTTAATTTTTGCTTTATCATTATTTTCCCCCACTCCGCTTTCCTTCGAATTTAATCCATTCATTTCTGTTACAGCTTTAAAACCCGAACAATTTAAGTAGTAATCAATTTCCATTTTGGTCACAAATGTATACCTCCTATTTCATTTAATTGACTTAATTTAGTTCTAATGCTGATTTTATTTCCATACTAGCGTTAGAATTAAATTCAGATTGCTCCTTTA